AAAATCCAGACGATTTCGAGGATTGTCGATGTTTGCCGAAAGTGCTTAACATATTTCGAAGGGAGGTCCGACACGACCTGACGACCGTGTCGCCAAAGCTGTTTACCGCCGCCTTACATTGGGTGATGAAATTAATGGGAATGAGAAAGGTATACGAGTTGATGGGAGCCTCTCGAATCTTCGTTTTGCGGACGACATTGTTCTCTTCTCGAGAAATATTACTGAAGCGAAGACGATGTTGAAGGAAATAAACGAAGTAGGGAAGCAGATAGGACTGCGAATCAACCGGAAGAAGACTCAGTTCATGAAGAACGCTTTGGGAAGCGGATAGGACTGCGAATCAACCGGAAGAAGACTCAGTTCATGAAGAACGCTTTTTGCGAGGATAAGGAAATGGAATGAGAAGGCTCTCCAATCGTGGAGACGTCTTCTTACGTGTATCTGGGAGGTTTGATGAACATGAGAACGATCTGAAAGAAGAACTAAACAAGGCAAAGAGTAGCTTAGGCCGCCTTCGAACCCCTAAGAAAAGCCACAGACCAGCTGACGGAGCCAAGCCCACCTTTCGATTCAACTGTTCTCTCTGCGCTCTGCTAGGCAGCAGAGATCTGGCGTGACACCGTGGCTACGTTAAAAGCTCTCCGTACAACTCATAGAGCGCTGGGACGACGTCTTCTGAAGTAAAACAGGCGCATTCAACATCTCATCGCACATCGCTGTTCAGATATGAGACCAATGTCTCGTCATAGCGATCCAGCGGAATACGTCTCTAAAGCAAAGCATCGATGGGCTGGTCATATAGTGAGAAGGACAGACGAGAGATGGACACTAAGAACTCTGGAATGGATTCCTCGCGAAGCAAAACGTCCTCAGGGGAGGCCACCGACCGAATGGGCTGACGTGTTCGTTACACTGATGGACCAGCTGAATTCTCAGCTGGTAACGAGTAATGGATCTGGACCTCGTGAACGTCACCGTCGCAGTTTAATACCAACATCGTGGATGACGCTAGCGAGAAACAGAAACGGATGGAAGCAAAGCTGCCTGCACGAGGAGTGAAGACAGAATCTAGTATCTAAGTAGGTTAGTATATCTCATAATTTCGCAGGTATCTCAATGAATATTTGACAATCTCGCAAAATCTGAATAAACGATTATAATTGGGATCGCAGTTTAATTTTTCTATGCTCAATTATTTAAATATCGACGTTATTCAAAACTTTGATTATCCTAGTCATGCGCATTATGAATAATTTCTTTGAACACGGCAATCTCAACTATATGTGAGATGGCACTGAACTTTCGGTTAGATGAGGAGCATTTAATAATCGAAGCCATTGGACTTTGTTAGCTAGACTTGCATTATCATTAGTTAATATAATGCTTCTCAATTAGAAAAACATCGCTCCTTTATTGTGCACATGACATCTCTTTTTGCTATATGCAATTAGGAATTGCATATTTGAGGGATCTGTTGAACAACTTCTTATCCTGCACTCTTGCACTAAAAGAGAAGGCATTCTCTTTTCATCTTTCTGCTTTTCCTTTAAAGTGTTCGTACCAACATTTGGTAACATTAGCTAATGCTTACACATGTCATCGGTACATTAGTCGGCTGTACAGGATGCCAGGCGGGTGTCGAAATATTGCAAAGGTAAGTTATTCCAAAAACTTCTTTAGAAAGCTTCGATACCACAGGGTGACCCAAAAATTGTGCCACCAATATCTTAACAATTCGTTTATTTCACAGTTTCAAAAATAAAAACTTAGGGGATTATTATGCACACTAACCCTGATAGAATAAGCGTTCAAATTCGTTCGTAGGCTTTTCTGTGACGATTATGACGATGCACTTTTGTTGTATGTGCTCAATGGTAGAGCTAAACGCACTTACAACCCAACACTGTAGTCGTGTTTCCAAGAATAAGCTCTGTCTAATGCACATAGTTCGGGAAGATGTAGCTTACTCTATCTCTATTGCTTTTCTCCCCAAGGAAATTTTTTGAAGGTTGCCTAGTTTTTCAATGTGTTGGTTTTGGCTAGCGTTTGATATAAAGAAATGTGGCTTTACCCTAATGTCATCGTTTTTGGTTCTCCTGTGTTCTACTTTCACATCAAGCGTTTTAATTTCCTTTGTTTCTATCCGTTTTGATTCTTCTGTTCTGTATGCTTAGTTTAGCCGATTTAGTTTAGGCGCACCATTTGC